AAAAGAAATCGATAATCGAATGTATTGACTTAATCATAACTCCAATCTAAAGTTTTATCAATTGTCCAAGGTGAAGTTCATGGACCAACACGTAAACAAGTGGTGTTTATTTTATTTATTATTTATAAGGTTTATGTTAAATGATGATATGAAATACATGATAATAGTGAAATGTTGTTAATATTTACTTGTATATTTGTTTTTAGAGTATAGCATATTTAAGTTTGTATCGATTATTCTTTCAAATTCAATCACCATGACTGAAAACTGGATTAGAACATATCTTTAAAAAAAACAAAAAAAACTAACTCTTAAGGAATATTAAAAAAATTTAAAACTGAAATATCTCAATTACCAAATACCATGTTCAACTAGTGAAATAACTCTAAATATTATTTATTTAGTTGCTTTAGACTTGTTAGCTAAACCCCCGTGATGTACGGCCACAACACAAACTAAGTGTCGCGATGGGACGGCAATCGGCGGCCCCTCCCGTGATCAAAGGAGTTGCCCTGGACCCTGACTAGCGTGCGGTCTGCAACAATCACGTTGGAGAAGCAAATAGAAAATGTACACAGAATCACATGTAAACATATACAAATTATGGTGTTTATTGATCGTTAAAAAAAAAAATTATGCGCAATAATGAAATATAAAATTTTTACATGTGTTATGCTCTTATTAGACACAAAGACGTGATAAGGTGGTATTTTGTATCATATTAAAAAACTAGACAGATTCATGAACATGACAGTATAGACTACTATAGAGCAGACCACCGACACTCTCCAACGTTAAGGCACATGAAATGTAAGACCATTAATGTTTATATAGGTCAATCGTGTCGTATTTTGTGTGACTCACATAACGTGTTATTCGTATTGTATCATTGCTATTTGTATTATATTTGTATCAAATAATCAGAACCGACACTTTTATAGAATAACATAACATGTAACTCAAAGTCTAAACAAGAAAGCTCAATCACGGTCTAAGATTTGAAGCTTACCAAACCTCCAACGAGCTTGAACAAGTGCAATTTCAGGGTTGTGTACAAGGAAAGGGATGGCTCGCCGGAGAAAGTCCGGTTCCGGCCGGAAATCGGCATCTAAAATGGCGACGAATTCACAGTTTTTGACATAGTCGCGCTTTAGGCCTTCTTTGAGAGCACCAGCTTTGTAGCCGCCTCTGGTTTCTCTGATTTGATAGATTATGTTAATGCCTTTGCTTGCCCACCTTAAGCATTCCTTCTCAACCATATCCTATAGCATCAAAATTAACAAAGCCCAGAATATAAATTGATTGATTGGGTCGATATCATATAGCATTATTGTTAATTTGATGACTGATGACAAAATTAGCAAAACCCAGATTGTATTTCGATTGAATTGGCTGGACCCTGAGAGAGAAATTCAAGAAAATCTAATGTTAGTGGTGGAAAAACATTAATTGTTGTTGGCTTATGACAAAAATTATACATTTGGATGAAGTAAAATGGCAAAAAGAAGACAAGTCTGTACGGCAAAATGATTGGATTATGAGGTCTACACCAAGACCAAGACAAGAAAACAGAGTAATTCTGTAGAGAACTCAAAAATGCCAACACCCATTAAGCAAAAGCATAATGAATTGATTTTTATAGTAGAACCCAGATCTAGAATTGAGCAATTTGATCTATAAAAACCATTAAAAGAAGGATTTTTCTATTTTGGAGTTTGGGTATCGGAAACTGCACTTTAACTGGATTTCATTAACAAATGTAAAACTGTTTTTTTTCTTCCGGGGACTGTTTGGATGGTGGAATTGAGTACCTTGATAACAGGGTCAGTTGAATCATCAAGCACTTGAATCACGAGACGATCTGACGGCCATGAAAGATTACATGCAGCTCCAATGGAGATCTTGTAGACCTGTCCCAAACACGCCATATGATTAAACAAACACCCAACCTCAGCTTTTTCTCACTTACCCAGAAAAGCTAGAAAATCAACACTGCCAAAACACATAGTATCCATACACACCCACAGAGAGAGAGAAAACAGACCTCTCTCTCATTGAACATTGGGATTTGAACAAGGACCAAAGGGAAGGCCTCATTGCCACTCTCCAAATCATCACGCATTGGCTCCCATTTGTATCGCTTATCGGGCTTTTTCCAGAAGAGCTTAACAAGAATGATGACAACACCCATGTACAGCCTCTCAAAGAAAAGCATAAGTGACATGGTCAGACATACATACACAGCAAGCCTTAAGAGTGGAACTATCAATGGTGCTTTGATTAGCTCCCAAATCAACCCAATTTGCCCTGCTATATCTGTTGTTGTTCCCTGGAATGACTCTGGTATAAAAGTTTTAGCAGAAACCTCAGCCATTTTTCTCTCTCTGGGAACTCTGTCTCTTGCCCGAAAACAATGCAAAACTGAAGACAGAGCTAAAACAGGGGATGATAGATTTACTAGATCTACTCTCACTCAGCTTCTCACTGTGTATATTATATGTTTTTGCGACAGAATTGTAGGGTGTACTTAGAAGAGAAGGGATGGACCAGTTCAGATCTCTGATTTTCTCTCTATACCCATAAACAAAGTACACAAGACCACTACTTTGTGCACTTTGAAGGTCTCCTCTCTCACAAATTGGGCCAAACCACTCTTCTGTTTCTTTCTATTCAATCAAAATAGACTAGAGACAGAGCAGTGTTGTGGCATTGTGGGAGAGTGAGAAGTGTTGAGAGAAAGTAGAGGAAAGTAATGGAGTGTGAGATAAAAAGAAGGTGAGGTTTTTTGGTCTTATTTGGGAGTATTTATTACTGACTTTGATCTCTCTCTCTCTCTCCCCCCCCCCCCCCCCTTTTTTCTTTCTCTTTCTTTTTTCATGTAGTGTGTGATTTGTTGTTCAAAAAGCCCAGAACCCGTTCCAACTTCCAACTACTATCAGTGACTGTGAGTCACCTTTTGTGCCTTAAAAGAACTGCTAAAAAATTCAATTGGGTCAATCTCCGGAGACCGGTGTCAGATTCCGGCGATAGTGTCAGATGCCAAGAGACAATCCAGCGTGGCAGTCTACATGACATGTTATTGTACAGAGTGGCTCAGTGACATGGCACTCTCTAATTGGATATCAATTGTTCCAAAGCTATGGTTCTATTCATAATAAATTAAAGAGCAATGTTATATGCTACGTAAACTTAAACAATAGACTTAAAAATTAAATTTAATAATTTCAACCATTGATTTTACTGTAGGTCTCAGCATTACTCTAAATTAAAAGCATATGATACATGGACATTATGTTTTTGGAACTTTGCATTTGAGTGATACTACATTAATACCACAATTAAACTTACCCATGAACACAAGGGAAAAAAAAAGGTAATTAATTTAATTACCCAAAAACAGAAAGAAAATGGGTACTTAATGTAATTACCTAAAAGTATGCACTGGTGAAGCAGAAAAGGGCAAGTATCATGTGGGGAAGAGCATAGAGGGTCCACCTGTCACCTTGGCATGAAGAATGAAGACAGCAAAATCATAAGGTAAACAAGTCAAGTAATAGCTATCATGCTTTATGTATAAGAATTTTTCTGGAAAATGATTTGATAATAGGATTTTTATAAATATTTATCATAATAGTATTTTATTTAGAACTAAAATGATTATAAAATCATACACCATTCTTTAAATAAAATGTTTTTTAAAAGTTACGTGTCTGTAGGATCACTCTTCTCGCATCAGTATTAGTACCAATATCAACTTTAAAATATGACAAGAGATGGGACTTTAAATCTTAGTCAATCAAAATTAAAATTGACGGAAGATGATACAAATGCACCACAATACATTTTTTTTTTGATTGTGACGATTTAGGACCACTTCTCATCCCTAATGAAACATAAGTAGCTGAGAGATGTGTGTGTGTGTATTTTTGCTCACAACCATCAAATTGTAGATCCCTTGTTTGTCTAAGAAATGTTGTTTATTTAACTATTTTTTTTGTGGAATTCTAGTAATAACTTTTATAAAATATTTAAATAATACTTTTTGAATTTCGAAAATCATCTTCTTAAACGCCTCTAAAAATTTCATCTTGAGAGTGATACAAAAGATGGCAACTAGGAGAGCCTGATGTAGCCGAGTGTCGACTAAGGAATTTATATATACGTCGGACCCAAATGTGCGTATAATTCATACCTAATAATCGCAGCAATAAATGGGGTCAATTTGTTGAAGTCCTCCCTAGTGTATAATTCATACATATTCTTGATAACTTTTTTATGATCAATTTTCAATAAATTATCAAAATTTAAATTTAAGATATTTGAATTTACGATTTACCTATAATATACTCTTACATAAACGTTTGGTCCATGGACCCCACAAGTGATACCCTGGACTTGCCTCCTTTGTTCTCTCTTTATTACATATATTGTGTGTCACACTGGTTTTTTTTTTTAATCTTGGTACAGAATGGTACTTACAAGTAACTTTAACTTGGCCAAGTGGAAAAAGTAAGAGAAAAGAAAACAGCTGTGGCAAAGAATTTTAAAGCTGTAAGAAGTACTTAGATGGAGGGCTAGAAGACCCTAAATGACACTAATCCTCATGATTATTTTGTACCAAATCCAAGCAAAATATGATTTAAAAAGAAGAGCGGCATTGGTGAAGCTTCTATCCACAACTGTTGTCTGACTTTTTCTTTTTCTAACCACTCAGGACTCTCTCTCTCGCCCAACTGTCAAATATTTGTATAATAGTGTTTGATTCTTTGTCTTTGGAGTCTTTCATTCTTGTGCCTTGTTCTTTGTTTGCTTATTCTATCAAAACAGAGCTGGAAAAAGCTTCAATTGCCCAATTTGAAAAGTAAACAGCACCCTCTTAATTCACATTTGCCGACAATGAAGTACTAACACACAGTGTCACCTATCATAAGGTCGTGATGAGAGAGAGAGAGAGAGACCTGTGAACAAACATTTACTTTATTTTGATATTTTGTTTTCCATAAATAAATTAAACCCGCAATGTTGACAAGCTAACAACACCAGAAAGAGTGGTGTATTAGCATGTTGACTATCGAAAACTAAGTACTCATACTGATATACAGCTAGCCTGATAATGAAGAATTGCTGCTAGCAAGTCCTACTTTTTTTTTTTTTTGAAGAGAAACGAGATCAGTCCTACCTCGGGGAAAGTTAAACATCCTGCTCGGAGTGTGATTCGATCCCTCGTGAATTGCCTCACGAGAGGGGGGTCGTTCAATCCAATTGAACAAGAACATATTGATTTAGTACATGCAATTCTGCATCCTTATGTGAACATTCTGGTTTGCCCTCACATTGGACTCCTTCTTTGTCTGCTACATTAATGAAGATTTTAGAAGCATAAGTTTCTCCTATTTACAATAAAATGACCCAGTCAACAAGCATATCATCAATGACATCTCCCAGATTAATCTAATTAACGATGCAATATTGACCAACTTTTCTTTCAATGTTCTGACCAATTCCAAATGAATTGTGAGATTAGTAAGTTTCACTCTCTCATCATCAATAATTATGATAAATTGCATCAGTTGATAAGAAAGTTGTGTGTAATATTATCCGTATCCCTCTAACAATCGTCGGTCCAATAATGTCCGGAGCATAGTCTTTTGAAAACTTAAACATTGCAAGAGATATTTGAATACTTAAATCAAATTGAAAATGAAAATGGTCCTTCCATGTCTAGGAGTTGTTGGACTTCAATCTCTTTTGTCATACAACTGTTTGTGAAGGAATGCTGAGAATGGAGAACTAGAAATTTTCAAGTGATATTTAATTTGCCTTTTCAATTGTTTAGTACCTACTTTCTGGGTTAGGCTTACACCAATTTGGAATATTTGGTAGGCACACTCTCTCATATAACCAACACTGATGTGGAATTGTGTGTAAATATACTCTTCAAATGATGTAATTCAATCTAGCCAGATCATAGTTAGTTGTGATTCGTGTGTGCGATAAATAATCAATAAAATAGAATAATAAAAGAAAAACATAAGAATTTACGTGGTTCGATAATTTGTTTATGTCCATGATCATAGAGCGATTGTCTTATTTTTATTTAACACTGAATTAGGGTTATCACTCAACTTATATATGTTACAACTCTAATTAGGGTATTCCGAAGGCACCTGTTACTCCATACTTGAATATGAGTCATCTATCTCAACATAGTTTAAATGTGTGGATAAGAATGTAAGACAGAGTGATCGAGAGAAATGAGCACTCCTTTACTAGTTTACACGATATATTCTAGTTTTTGGTTATTTTATATCCATTGAAATTTTGAGTATGAAATATAATGTCATATGATAAAGATGTATCATCTAACTTTTTATTAATTGATAAAATTTTTAAAACTTATTAAAATGTCCACCCGAATATAATTTTCTGGCCCTACCCATGCCCAAATCTAAGGTATAAATACTTAAGTTACATTTTTTTCAATAATTTAAATTTTTAGAGTAGATGATTGTTGGTTCAAAAAAATAGATGATTGTTTAATAAGGTATTAGAGTAGAAAATTATGTATTCGAATCTTATAACAATCTTAATCATTCAAAGAGTTTTCACGTACTAAATTTAAAATTTAATCTACACGTAAAAGAGTGTTAAAATATAAATAGTTATAATGTATAACTAATACCATAGATTAAGCAAGTAACAGGTCTATATATCTAGTCACATATCTAGTCACTATCAGTTGACAAAGACTATACCTTATTCCAATAAGATTATTCTCTCTCCAAGCCAAGTTCTTATTTTTGGAGCTTGTTCCACAATCAAAATTTAATATTTCATTTAATACGATAAAAAAAATAGAAAGATGAAAAGGTATATATTAATTTCATATATAGATATAATAACAAAATATCTACTTATATTTTTTTTAAAAATAAATATTTAAATATTTAAAATAAAATAAGATATAAAAAATAAATAAAATAAAATAGTTTTTTTATATTACCAAACACAAACAAAAAACAATTATTCTTAATTTTCATTCTTCTTACTAAACACAACTGAGTGAAGGAATGATTCCAACTTAAAAAATTGAAAATATATTACTTTCACTTTTAATATATATATTTTTTTCATCCATCCTACCACACGAACTATATTTATAATATAAAACAGGACAACCTTCAATATATTCATCCGAATAAGGCCAAAATCAATCAATAATTGGATAAAGATATGAATTTTTTTATTAAACTTTTTGTGATCGGGAATGCACTGGAACACCCAGTCACGTGACCACATCTTATTGTCATGTTTTTATGTAAAATGTACATCTGCCCCTCAAGTCTTTTGTATTTCGTCGCACAGGCCTAATCT